TCCCAACCTGTCTGGGGCCCCAACCTCCTTGGCCTACCCCAGACCTAAAGGGTCAGAAAGCAATCACTGGCTCAAGAATAGACACAGGTCCCCACTCTGGCCAATGAAATGTGCAATTTACTATTGGTTTGGCCTAATTCCTAAATGCCACGGAATATCCTTTTCCTCCCTAGATATTAACAGGCTCCTGCAGGATGAAGGTGTTCTGAGGATGAAGCTGTCCCTGAGATGGCAGGACAGAGCGACAGAAAGGGCACAGGTCCCTGGGGACATCTTGAGTTTCCTCTTCAGTGACATAATTGTTGCTGATCCCCAGATAGGCTCAGATTTCAGGTGCTGTGGAATCAATCACCCACATTCCATGAAGTGTCAAATTATGGACCTGCAGGAGATTGCCCTATAAGGTGCAGATATAGACAAGAGGACATGCCTCCCTGCTGGCCCCAAGAGAAATGCAGAGGTGAACAGCCGAGTATGAGCCCCCAACCCCCATAAAAAGGCCCAGAGCAGCCCAGGCACAGGCCTCTGAGCAAGTGCAGTCTTACCAAGCCCGCAGCAGCCAAATCCCCATGTATGAATGTCATTTTAAGCCACTGAGTTTTGGTGTGGCTATGCTGAAATAGCAATTAACACATTACCCTATTTCTTCCGAATTTCTTAGGCCAGTGCTGCGCATGCAGAGTACAAACTCAATAAATATTTCATTAATTTGACAAATACTTATTGAGCATTTACTATGTTACAGTGTACAAAGGACAGGGGACACAATGGTGATCTAGATGGGCCTAATTTCTGCTTTCTCAGAGCACATTTTGTTATCATTGTGATGAGTTCTACAAAGGAAATACTTATGAACACAGAATAATGGATGAATGGTATTCTATGGTGTCAGCAAGGAAACCGAACATAGAATGAGAGCCAAGTAAAGATGCATGCATATGTGGGAATTCTGTAACAAGAGTGGCTTTACACATCAGTGGAGAAATAAGGAACTAATTAGTGATACAGGAAAAAGAAACTTTCCATATGATGGAAAAGTGAAGTTGGGTTCTTACCTCAGACCATACACACACATACAGATCAATGAACTCCAGATGGACTAAAGACATAAATATATATATATAAAAGACTGACTTTGAAATGAGGAAAGATTTCATAAACAAGACCAAGATGCTTGAACCTAAAGGAGAAGATTGATACATTTACATAATTAAAAAACTGTAAAATAAGAAATACTCTAAATAAAGTTAAGAAAACTGGTACATACTAACACATAAATAGACAAAGAATAGCCAGAACAGATAAGAAATACCAAGTCAATAAGAAAAAGATAACCTAGTAGAAAAATGAAAAAGAATATGAACAGGCAATTTGTGAAAGAAAATTGGTCAGTTAACATCTAATCGACTGTCCACTAAAGTTACTTAGAATTTTCATCTACCTTCAGCTTGTTACTAGTGTTGGTATCACCACTGTTTAAGCATAGACCAATTACATTGTTTTGAGGTTCATTAATAGTTTGAAAACCACATAACCACAACATCAACTCTGAGTGACTTTATGAACACAATTCATGAGACATGGCCCTTTAACACAAGAAACAAAATAAGGATATTTACTTTTGTGGTAAACCTTGGGCTTAATGAACAGTTTCCTCATGAAACTTGATTTCAATGCTAGCTCTGAATACCTTTAAACAGTAAGCCGACTGGATAACCCTCAAGCTGCAGATCACTCACACGTGTGCAAGGAATAAGAAGCCTTTATAATTAAAATACCAAGTGGGAAGAAACTTGTATTTCATTCTCATGTACACAGATGGGAATTCAGAAAAAGTTATTTTTAAAAAGATACACTCTTAAAGAATATTTTAATGTTTTAAAAAAAAATCAAAAGAAAAATTGAACAGTGCCTAAATCTTTATTTTTCATAACCTACATTTTTTTTCAAATTAGACAGTTTTACACTGAATGACACAAAAGGAAACTTAAATTACCAATAGTTACATATAAGCTTGATTCCAGTCTTAATGAAAATAGAACAAAAATAAAAATCCTCAAGAAAGCTCCTGTTTTGTGAACTGGCAGCTGTTGGCTCTCCTTCAGTCTTCGATTGTCTGCTGCTTTCTGTGTAACCCCTACCGACAGCTCACACCCTCCTCACCTGCTTACCTTGTGAGAAACATAACCTGCAGCGCTCTGACTATAGCTAGTGACCGCTGGTGATAAGCCCACAGGGGAGGGCCTGATCAGAAACATCATGACACTAACTCTTTAAGAAGCAACTACAATACTTGAAATTCATGTCTGCAAAAATGGGGTCAGATTCCTGTATTTCCAAAGTATCATCAACACACGATTGTACAAGTTAAAATGTCATTTGTGACGGTTGTATCTCTGATTCTATACCTCAAAATACTGCTGGGGAAAAAGTTACATTTTTAAAAATGTACAAAGCCATATACTACTAGCCATTTGCATCACAGCTTCCTGTTGTGCCAACTCTTATTCTTTTCTATGTAGAAAATCTAAAGGATAGTATCAGGAAGGTTTTTAGGACATTATATAGTTATTTGGCATATCACTTTGCTTAATTAAAAAGGATGTTATAAAAATCCATCAGAGCAACGTTTCAATTCTGGATGCCACAGACTGGCTGTGGGAGCAGTCGCTGCAGCGCACGCCTCACCACGCTGTGACTGGTCAGTGACCACCTTCATCCTACATGCAGCTGCTGAGCTCTCCACTCACCAGCAGGCACTGCCTCACAGAAAGGCTTTGTCATTATATCATTTGGGGATGACCGTGGTTGCCTCCTCCAACACTAAGATGTTCGAAGCTTGGAGCTTGCCTTTCTGATGCTCTTTATGAGACTCATTAGTTTGGGCAGAAGAGGTCAGTTATTTCTGATTTTTTCATCAGCTATCAGGCAACCACAAAGAAATAATTTCCATGTTCCTTTTACAGGCATTTGCACAGTATTAGCACTGCGGTGTACTTCTAGGTGTATAAAGGATGCTGGCTACTCTGAGGACGGTGTTTTCCGCCGGCAAGGTAATCAGGCTGGGCTATCTGTGATTTTCAGTAGTAGATTATTTTTCACTTCCCTTGAAGATACTGCCAGTTTCTGCTTTCTACATTACACTTCAAAAACCCTTTCACACCAACTATGATTAACACATATTTACATACTTTTAGGAAGAGCATGGACACATCCAAAGGCTTTCATGAGACTGTTCACTTCCCTCTGCAGTAGCAAAGCGGCAGAATCAGCTCAACACACCAGTTTAAAAGGGAAGAAAAACCTCAACAAATTAAAATAATATTCAAACCACAACATTTAGTTTATCTACATCCAGCTCAATAGCAACATTTATAATATATCAATAATTTTTATCAGATTTTTCTCTTTAGGGTACCTTTTTAATATGTTCTGATTATTTACAACTGTACAAGCAAAGCACACACTCCCAAGTGCACATATTTAATACAGTATCGACTATTTGCATTTACAGAATTTTTCAACAATCTGAAAAAAGATCAACTGTGTAAGATCTTCAAGGTATATTACAAACATGACGGCTAGTTCTCGTACTCTAGTACGTTCACTCAATAAAACTAGCGCCAGTAGATCCCACATCACTGAGTAACTGCAATCCACTCACGCCAACCCAGGGGCCGGTCTCCGGGAACTCTACGCTGTCTTATACAAAAGTTAAGGCAAATTCATTTTCAAGTTTAAATAAAATTCAAGTCTTTAAATATTGGATGGAAATAACTTTTTTTTAAAAAAAAAACCAAAAACCCTCAGTCTTGTTAAATAACATTTTGTGGAATAAACTTGTATGGTTACATTTAGCAGGAAAGACTCTTAGTTTACTGCCTGCTGCTTAGAATACTTAAAGAAAAATTTAGGCATTTTAAAAGAAAATAATTTATATTTGACTTTATTATAAACTGCTAGCTTTAGTGCATGCGGGTTCAGAGTGCAGCACTTCCAGAAGGGAATCAGTGAGACCCTCATCTTGGAGGTAAAGAGAGAGGGAATTCTTATCCTCCACCACCACAGGGCACCACAAACACATTCTCTCACGATTAAATAATGTCCAGTCCGTGTGCCGATGCGGAGGTACAGGGAGACGCCCATGGAAGCGGGCTAACGTGGGGGAGACTTGGGAGCCCTCTGGGCTTCCAGCCCTCCCGCCAGCTCATGGGAACAAAACACCACCAGGGTACAATGTCATGGTAACATGTCAGTGGGGCAACAAAGTTTATGTTTTCATTTAAGTTCTATTCACAATGTGCTTTGAATTTATCTTACATAATAGCCACTGAGACTGGAGTGAGAAGCTGGTTACTTGCTTGCAGTGCATCGAAACTCAAGGTTTTAGGCTCTCAGGGGTTCTCCGCAGATTCATTCTGCCCAGTAGATAAAAAATGGACTGTACTTTTTACAAAAAGCTAGGATCACTTGTTAGGATTCTGAATGAGTCCATGGCCCAGGCCAGTGTGTGGGACCCTCTGACCCATCCCCCCTCCAGGCTACACCCACAGCCCTAGGCTTCGCCCGTTTGCCTGTTGGTCTGACATCCTTAGAGATATGTACTTGCTAACCAGTTATTTTAAAAAATAAAGTAGCACAGTTCCGCTTAATTTAGAAAAACTCACTATTTATAGCTTGCATTCATAGCCACATGGAGGCTTAATAAAAATATCAATTTGTTAGGATAAATGCATTTTCTATCCTGAAAAAAATCAGACTTATGCATCACCTCCAATTAAGCACCAACCTAAAATAAGGTTTATATTAATTAAATCCTGAAAAATAGATTTTTTCAAGAGGGGGGAAACATCTGACTGAGAAGAAAAATAACTTGCAGGCATCTCATGGGCCTTGTCTACACTGCAAGCTCCTAACCAGCGGCTCATTCTCGGTACCGAGTGGGACAGTGCTTAGTTGTGGCGACCTCAGCTCCTCACAGCCCTCCCTGATCTCGGCGCTCACTGAGGGGACCTGGGAGGGGAGCTCTGTTCTCTGTATGAATGCTTCCCTGCAGGCGGGGGTGAGGGCCGGCGGCCTGGTGGCCTTCTCTGGTCACTGGGTAGTCCTTGGTTGGACTTGGGGGCAGGGAGCTCTCTCTCCACCAGCTTCTTTTCTTCCTTCCCACAACCAACAGTGTTTGGCTTTTGTTCTTTTGGGGGTGGCAATGGGGAGGACGAAGGCTCTCTACTTGTCCTCTGGCAAATCTCGGCGTAGCTGGGTTTTCGCAGTTCCTGGGAAAAGACACAGCTCTGGGATTAATTACATGCAGAACATGACATCTCATTTCCAGGGGCAACAGGTGAAATACTGTTCTTCCAAGGTAAGAAACTTTTTTTTTGCCCTGGTCGGTGTTACTCAATGATCAGAGCATTGGCCTGTAGACTGATGGCCCGGCCACAGGCTCAATTCCCAGTCAAAGTCACATACCTGGGTTTCAGGTTTGATCCAGTTGGGGTGGCAACAATCAATATGTCTCTCTTATATCAATGTTTCTCTCTCTCCCACCCTCCTTCAGAAAGTCAATGGGAAAAACATCCTTAGGTGAGGATTAAAAAAAAAATGTTTTCAACTGTAACCAATTCCCACATTCAAAAATATTTTTATTTTTAAAGATGCCATAAATTTTAAAACTGTAGTTTCCCCTGCAGCACAACTTTTCCACTAAGAAACTAGAAATATCTTATAAAAATAGGCAAAAGTAGGAAAGGCATTGATGTGCAAAGTGCTGACTGAACTCCTTCCAACTTAAAGCATTCTTGAGCCACATGAGGCCTCAGAGGAGGCCTAAGAAAACCAGGTGCCCCAAGAAGACATGAACAGCACCAGCTTTCTCTGCCCCTGCCTCCTATAAATAGTCCAGCTTACAAATAAACATCAGAATTGTCTTTAAAATTTTTGCATTCATTTCTAACTATAGAAGACTGATGGTGTGGGTTTAGAAAAGAAGAATTAAAAACTTGGGGGGGAAAGTTAGCAGGTTTTCAAGTAAGTGGAAGCATTAAGGCTAAGTAAGCAAAGAATAGTTAAAATTATTTGTTAAATAAATCATGTTAACTTGAAAATAATTTTAACCTAAAAAAAGTCTTTTCTTTAAAGAGTCAAAATAGTGGACAGTATGGGTTTAACTCCTTAATCTAAATGACAAAGCTCACCAAGACCAAACTTGAGGAAACACAAAACAGAACAGAATATGCTGTATCCACCTGGAGGGAAAGGAAAGGAAGCAGGGGTGGGCTGGGCGTGATAGGCAGGGCCAGGTGCCTCTGTGTTCTCAGTGCCCGTGAGCAATAGCCACACTCAGATGGAGCATGTATCCTATGGGAACAGGATCTGGAGTTTTGAGGCTACTCAAAAGGACAAGCCCCCTCAGCTGACACTAGAGAGCCCAGGGCAGTGGTGACAAGAAATAAGAAATTATCACATATCCAAGGAATCCTGCACAAGAAGCATGCTGCACATAGCAGTAAAATCCCACCAAATTAGACTGCTGACAATGAGCTGATCTGAGAAGGAGCTGCTTTCCTCCGGCCCCGTGCCCCTGGCACCTACCGTGGTGGTGCCGTTCACCTGCACCGATTTACTGGCGGTGGTGGAAGTAAGTCTGTCTGCACTCGGGGCTTCCCTCGGCTTCTCCACCACCTTGGGGTCCCTGTGAAAAGAGCATCCAACACATGAGTTACACATAACAGTAATCCCAGTGGGTAAGGAGGAGGCAGCAGGATTATACTTACTCGGGCAGGTGGGCGGGGGAAGGGGTTCGTTCATGGGCCACGGACAAGGTGCAGGGGACTGGCTCTGAGGGCTCTCTGCAGGTTGCTGTGGGAAGAGTGCTCGTGCCTGCATCTGCATTGAGGCTCTGAAAACCATTGGAGTTAGAGTTGACAGTTAGATAGAGAAGCATGGGCCACATCTCTCATCTACAACCCACCAACGGATACCAGCCCAACTGACTCACAGCGGCCCAGTACCTATTCCTGACAGATAGGTACTGGCAGGCAATCAGAAAAGGAAAGAGACCAAATCTGTCCTCCTAGCTTGTTTTATCTGCCAGCTTGTTTTCTCTAATGAACAAATATCAAAACACCTATTCATCTCCAACACAATCATTCATTCAGAACTACCCGAAAGCTGGATGAATGGAAGTCCTACAACTAGAGAAGTAAAGAAGAAAGCACACTGAGACTGGTAGGAGGGGAGGAAGGAAGGACCGCGTAGGTGACACCCAAGTGTGCAGTTTATGTAATCAGGAAGGCCTGTGGAGGCTGCCCATAAGGAGCAGGGTGTCCTAACCCCAAACCAGACTTCCAGTCCAGATTTCCAGACCTGGGAAGAGAAGTCCCCCTAACAGAGAAGTCCCCCACAACAGAGATTGTGGCTGAGGGACATGGAGGCTGCTGGACACACAGGTCCAGCACATGAACTTACTCAGACTTGAACTCCAGCATCAGGCATTTTTGGGGAATCCAGACACATATGGGGAGAACTGAATTATCTGGCATGGGGGCAGGAACTGGGGGCAGCCTTCTCTCAGACATGGGTGCTCACAGGGGTCACTCTTCCTGTGCTGAGACCTCCCTTATCACAGAGCTGACTGGCAGCCATATCTGAGTCTCCCATCAGCCTGGTGCACAATGTTCACTCCACTCTGGTGATTCCCTGAGACCCCGCCCCATCCAATTTGCAGCCTCACCTAAGCTTGTTTGCAGCTGCTTTTCCATATGAATGGCCTGTCCTGGCTCAGGCTTCAGACTTTCATAAAATCCCTCAAACAAGCTGCAGCTGGTGTCAGCATACCTCAACGTATCAACAGAGGGCCCAAAACCCAGCACTAGCATCAGCCTGACTTACTTCACAGCTGGGCCTCACCTTGGCACTTCTAAACCCGATAGAATGAGCAGCCATCTGCAGATCTCTCTATCGCTCCTGTGAGATAGGCCCAGAGCCAGTGCACCTGGTGAAAAGCTTCAGCCCACACCAGATTACAACTCTACTCATCCACAAGCAAAATACTCAAGGGGCAGACTTGCTTCATAGGGGGATTCTCCTGCACAGCAGCTCTCTCCACCGTAGTTGCAGCTGGTCCTCACAGCCAACTGGCATGGAGGTCAATTCCTCCCAGTGATGCCAAAAGCAATTAAAGCTTAACTTCAAGACTGTGCACACAGCCCACACAAAGGCGCACCTAGAGTGCTCAGCTCAGGTGACTGGGGAGGCTGAGTTACTGGGCCCTACAGGACACCCGCTATATAAGGCCACTCCACCAATTCTAGGAGACATAGCAGCTCTACCTAATACATAGGAAAAAATACAGGAAAACAGCCAAAATGCAGAAACAAAGAAATAGGTCACAAATGAAAGAAAGCAAACTACTAGATTCAGAGTTCAAAACCATAGTTATAATGTTACTCAAAGATCTATTTAGAGCTTCAAAGGACTTAGTGAGACTTTCAAGGACCTTATGAGAACATCAAAAACATGAAAAAGAACCAGTCAGAAATTAAGTATACACTAACTGAAATAAAAAATAATGTACAGGGATTAAATAGTAAAGATTCCGAGAATCAAATCAACAATTTGAAATATGAGGAACCAAAAACATGCCATTAGGAAAGAAAAAAGAATCCCAAAATATGAAGATAATTTCTGGCACAACTTCAAGCATAGCAACATTCGCATTATGGGGGTGCCAGAAGAAGAGAGAGAGCAAAATACTGAAAATCTATTTGAAGAAATAATGACAGAAAACTTCCTCTTCCTGGTGAAAGAAAGAAATTTATAAGCCCAGGAAGTGCATAGAGTCCCAAGCAAGAGGAACCCAAAGAAGCCCATACCAAGACAAATCATACTTAAAATGACAGAGTTAATCACAAAGAAAGAATCTTAAAAGGAGCAAAAGAAATGCTGTTAGTTACCTACAAGGAAGCACCCATAGGACTGTCAGGTGATTTTCTCAACAGAAAGTATGCAGGCCAGAAATATTCAAAGTGATGAATAACAAGGACATATAACCAAAATTATTCTACCCAGCAAAGCTATCATTTAGAACTGAAGGCCAAATAAAGAACTTCAAAGACAAGAAAAAGCTAAAGGAGTTTATTGCCATCAACTAGTATTAAATGAAATGTTGCAGAGTATTCTTTAAGAAGATGATCAAAAATATGAATAAAATGGCAATAAATGTGTATCTATCAACAATTGAATACATATCTAAAAACCAAAATAAATGAACAAGAAACCCAACGAACAAAATAAACTTGTGAGAAAAATAGAATCAGAGGCACAGAAACATGGAACAGACTGATGAATCTCAGAGGAAAGGGGGGAGGGAAAGCAAGAAGAGATTAACCAAAGATTTATTATGCAATATACATTACACATGGACACAGACAATAGGGTGGTAAAGGCCTGGGACAGGGCAGAAACAAGGTGGGGGGGGGCAATGGTGGGAAAGAAGAGGGACATCTGCTGAAACCGGTTTGGCTCAGTGGATAGAGCGTCAGCCTGCGGACTGAAAGGACCCAGGTTCGATTCGGGTCAAGGGCATGAACATTGGTTGCGGGTACATCCCCGATTTTTCTCTCTCATCGATGTTTCTAGCTCTCTATCTCTTTCCCTTCCTCTCTGTAAAATATCAATAATATATATTTAAAATTAAAAAAAATAAAAACTGCCTACTAAACCTGTAGTTTAAAAAAAAGAAAAGAAAAAAGAGGGACATCTGTAATACTTTCAACAATAAAGATTTGAAAAATAAGAAAAAAAATTTAAAAATAAAAAATAAAATAACAACACAAAAACAATCCCAGGGAGTGATGTGTTAATTTTCTCAATTAACAGGGAAATAAACTGAACTCAGAACTTTTAAATTAATCATCCCAGATCTCCAACCATTGACACCCACTCCACCCCTGTACACAGTGACAGCTCATACATGCTGTTTTCTTCATGATGTGCAATTAACAAAGGGAGGAGAGTAAATAAATATTTGGAAGGACAATTAAGTATAAAAAGACATTTCCTAAAATTGTACTTTTCAAAATAAACAAAAGGTTCAGAAGTAAACTAAACAGAAAAGTGCTGAGGGAGATGAATAAAACAGCAACATCTATATCTCTTTGTCCCTAGCAGGTCTCCCTGAAAACCATCATCTTTTATTACTTTGTATTCAAGGTTGGTTGAAATGTGGGAAAGGGAAATACCTCCTTTTTTGAAAAATCTGTTACCAAGGATCTTTTGATCCTGATATGCTGGAATGTAAGGAATCAGAATGTGATCAGCACCTCAAATGTGAGGCCTTCCTCAAGCCCCTGCACAGTTGCTACATCCCCTTACCACCAGCTTTGAATCTCAAGTGTCACAGAGATAGAAAAAACTATTGTAGGAGCTCCCAAAAGAAGCAGAGATGCAGGCTCTCACCTGGCCATGGAATCAGGCTCTGACTTTTTTAAAGTAGCAATTCTTTCTTCTAAAGAAATCTTATACAGAAATTTAAATATAAGAAGTAATAATTGCCTTAACCAATTTGGCTCAGTGGATAGAGCCTATTTGAAGGTTTTATATATATATATATGATTTTATAATTTTTTAAATAAAGAAGTAATAATTGATAGGCCAGCTTGCTCTGTCTACCACTGGGGGGAATAAAGTCAGTCTGAAACTAGATCACAATCTTTAAAATGCACTCGATCTATGAGGCACGTAGAACTCAGAAATTACTATTTAAAAGTTTAGAATAATGTGTTTGGATAGTGTGGCACAGTGGACTGAGCATTGTCTCATGGACCAAGAGGTCCCGGCTCTATTCTTGGTCAGAGCACATGCCTAGGTTGTGGGCTCGATCCCCAGTAAAGGGCATGCAGGAGGCAGCTGTTTTCTATCTCTTGCTTTCTCTTCCTCTGTATCCAAAAATCAATACAAACATGTATTTTTTTAAAGTTTAGAATAATGCACAAGATATGCCAAGTTTAATAGGTGATTGATGTTATAACCTTGAAGGTTAAAAACAGGAGCAGTAATTACATACCAGCATAAAGAGGACTGAAAAGTGGTTATAAATCCAATGTAAGCCTCAGCCTGGTGACTGGTAGGCTTCAAAGCTGCATTTAGATAGTCTAGATTCGGCCTTCTCCAATCCGGGACGAGGGAGGAGAGTGGATGGGGGCAGGGTGTTCGATGCCTAACATCTGGGAGTGATATGGAATGGGTTTCCATTGGAAAAATATATAGGGGGATTACTCCTGGCAGCAGCACAAATCTCTCTGTACCTCATTAACTATAGCAGATCCCAGAAGGAGTGCTCAAAAATAATTCTGTGTGACTTCAGTAGCGCAAGCTGATTCCTGGGATAGTAATCATGTAGGGCTGAAAGCAGCCTGTCTGGAGCCTACAGAGCTCATCAAAAGCCACCAGTATTAAAGTTATTTCAGGCTTCTTGTTATTCGTGTAGTTTACTAAAAATTATATTACTCCTGGTATAATCCAGGTTGTTCCGTTTTATTCTTCTGGCTGGTAAATAAAGGCAGGTCCTGAATAGCAATAATAAAAATGCAATCTGAGTTTCTGGGTGAAAGTATCTAAAGTGCACACCGTGGCACAGGTTTCTCTCTTGAACCTTGGCAGACTGGGAACTAAGAGGTAGGCTCCCGTCCTGGGTTCAGCTTTGACTCTACCATTCAAAATTTGTGTGGCCTCTGAAAACCCTTTTCCCTCTCTGTCTGTGAAAAAAATTGTGTGTGTAAAGAGCTCAGCCCAGTTCCTGTTAGGAAATCAATGCTTAGTAAATGCTAGCAACAATTAAGCTTGTGACATGTATCTTACCCTGTCCTTTGATCCTAGCAGCAAGCTAGACAGCCTGTTTTCAAACAAGTCCTCAGTCTTCAAGTGGCCTGCTGCCCCAGGCAGCGGGGGAAAGTTAGACAGCCCCAATTCAAAACTCGGGGATGGAGGTTTTGGTGGCGTTGGAGACTGGGTCTGACTCCTCTGAAAGAGAACAACACCACAAAGTTGCACAAGTGTAGACAGCACAGTGCTAAGAAACATACCAGAATAGTAGGGCAATAATCTGTTCTCTACTCATCTGATTTCCACATATGTCTGAAAACACAAATATAATCTGACCACAACACTTTGTCACCTAATCAAAGGTCACTTAGTAGGTCAAGTCACTTAGAAGGCAACTTCCATCATCGAGAGCATAGCTATAAAGCTAAGCTCTCAAAGGCAACTGCTGTGCCGAGCTGCTTCTCTATGACCAAGACCCTTTGGTCCTTGGTACAGTGGACCAACACAGACCCTGCAAGACACAGGTAAGCTGCAAAGTGATAGCTATGAACAAGGAAGACTCTGTGGAACAAGTGGGCCCCACTGTCAAAAATCAGAGTAGCCTGAGTCTAGCATTAACCTATTCATCTCCAGACAAATTTTGTGTTATGAAATAGTGTGTAATTTAGGTCATAAAGGATAGTAAGAAAAAAAAAAAAAGATTCTTCCAACTATCTACAACTTATGTATGGAAGATTTCCATTGGAGTAAAAAAATGATTTAACAACAACAAAAAGGTGGGGGTGTTCAGTTATCCTATATCATAAAAGCTAATATGCAAATTGACTTTACAGTGGAAAGACCAGTTGCTATGATGCGCACTGACCACCAGGGGGCAGACACTCAATGCAGGAGCTTCCCCTGGTGGTCAGTGTGCTTCTAAAGTGGGAGCACTACTCTGCCAGAAGCCAGGCTCACACCTGGTGAGCACAGTGGCAGTATAAGGATGTCCGATTGACAGCTCCCAGACTGCGAGAGGATGCAGGCTGAGCTGAGGGACACCCCCCCCCCCCCAAGTACATGAATTTCCACCGGGCCTCTAGTCTGAAAATAAACTAATAGAAACACTGCATTTTAAAATCTCTAAGTAAAAATGTGGTATTAAGAGATTATCACATTCCTGACTTCAAGAAAGTAAAGTCAGCAGAATAATATCCAAGTGTAAATCATCAACCCAAGCTCTCAGAAAAAAGGCAGTGATATAATTTTATTGAAAAACTACAATCAACCTGTTTTAATAAGGCAGAAGCAATTTTGTAGGTGTTCAAGTCCTTGGTTGAAGGCAAAAAGGAACAGAAAGGAAATGAAGTTTCTACTTAGGTGGTATTTTTTTGAATGTTAGCCACTTTAAGTGGATGCATTGCTCTCATCAGGCTCACTTAACTTTGAAGGGCTGATACTCCCCTAGAAACTTACACTAACAGGAAGGTCATTTCCTCCAGAAGCAGAATCTGGAGAAAGTCTGTTAGAACTCAAGTGAGAGCAGATTAAGGATAACATGGATATGAGGTGGCAGCAATCCCATGCCTCCTCTGGGCAGCCTGCCAGCCACTCTCCTTCATTACAGTGCAGGCACTGAGTAGAGCCTCACTCTGCTCAGTCAGGAGCCCTTAGAGTAGAACTTGCACTAACTAACAGGAGCCATGATGGTCTCTAATTCAACAAATCTGGAAGGCTATGCATAGACACCATGATCTCAAAGCAATTTTCAAGTTTTCTTTTATATATCTTCGTGTTTTCAGAAGATAAGCATTTCTGAGGAGAAAGACTTCACAAAATTTTACTACATCTCAATTTTTAGGGACAAAGAGACAGGCAACAACTGCCCAGACACAAGAGGTACACAATCACAGGACCTACTGATGGGATTTGCTCTTGAAGGTGTCTAACATTTTGTAGCATCTGATGGGCTTTAGGTGAGGTACGAATGCTGCCCCAGTCTTATGGGTTTGGTCGGGCCAACGCCCACCTGTATGTTATGTTTCTAGAATTTTGAAATCATCAGACTGTGCAACAACAGGTGCAATCTCTTTAGTAAGTATAACTGTGTTATGTACCTGGGCTTCTATGTGGTTCCCAAGTATGAACATGTGAATGAAGAACATGGAACAAAATGAAACAGAAATGGCAACGAGAGAAAATTACACCTTTTTAGGTGACATAGTAAGTGAGCAATGGAAGAAAATCATGTAAGATAACTAGATTCTGAAGAGATTTAGATACTAGTCTTGCTAAATATTATAGCAGGGATGGGTAACCTTTTTCTGCCAAGTGCCATTTGGATATTTGTAACATCACTAGAGGCCTAGCACAGAAAATTCATGCACAAGTACAGTTCCTAGACCTGGCCTGAGATCAGGGCCATCTTCCCTGGCTGATGGCAGTAAGCCCACCCACCATTGGTTTCCAGTTCACCATTGGGAAACCAGAGCCTGCCAGCAGGGGGAACAAACCGAGAGGTTGGCCATTCCCACCTGCTTGCTGGCCCTGTTCCCTTGGCCTGATGCTACCAGCATCCAGGCAACCCATCCCCAGTTCCCAATAGCAACAGAGCCTGCCATGCAAGGAAAGGAACCAAGAAGTTGCCCGGCAGGTCCTAATCAGGCAATCAGGGCTTGTAGACAGCACCTGTGTTGAGTGTCTGCCCCCTGGTGGTCAATGAACGTCATAGCAACTGGTTATTCCAACATTTGGTTGATTTGCATATTATCCCTTTATTATATAGGATTTGAAGGCCATACAACATGATAAACTTAAAAATTAGTTCCTATATTTGGTCAAACATTTTATTAATGCACCCCTAATGTCTTGGCAGAGCCTTATATATTCCCTACCTCTGCATTACAGGAATCATTAATTCCAACTGAAATCAGCTGATATAAAGTGCCTCACCAAAGGGTTTGCTAAAAACAGCTATGCATAGAATTATGAAAATTATGATTTATTTGCACTTTCTAAGTTCCAAAGAAAACACATCTTCTGTAGTGGGTAAGTACCTACTTGATGACTTAGGGGACTGAACCAATAATTTTCCTATCTTTGCCAAGTGTGGAGTTTATTCTATACCTGCAAGTCCAGGAAATACTTTTCCTTCCCTCGTGTTTTCCTGCAAACTGCCTGAATACTCTCCATGATGTGTAGAAATGCACCATATTAGCACTCAACGAAGTTCAGTAGAGAACTACACATAGGCTGAACTGTCATCACCCAAGAAGACAGAACCCCGCCTCACATGCCCATCACTCACATAAACCTACCACCATAAGTTACAGCAGAAACAATAATGCCTTCTGCATAATGTTTTGAAGGAAAAAGATGGGTGAAGTATTTTCTACATGGGAAAAGTTTATTCTGTTTATCAAACTGAACAAACCCAGTTACTTTAAATTATAATATACTAGTGGCCTGGTGCACGAAATTCATGCATGGTGGTGGTGGGGTTGTTCCTCAACCCTGCACCCTCTCCAATCTGGGACCCTTCGAAGGATGTCCTACTGCTGATTTACAGGGATCGGGCCTAAACCAGCAGTCAGACATCCCTCTTGTAATCCAGGACTGCTGGCTCCTAACCACTTGCCTGCCTGCCTGCCTGCCTGATTGCCCCTAACCATTCTGTCTGCCAGCCTGCTCGTCCCCAAATACCCCCGTCAGCTTGCTCACTCCTAACTTCCCCCTGTGCCAGTGTGCCCACCCCCAACTGCCTCCCCTGCTGGCCTGTTCACCCCTAACTACTCATTCTGCTGGCCAGCTTGCCCCTACCTTCCCTCCCCACTGACTTGTTCGCCCCCCAACTGCACCCCTGCTGGCCTGATCATCTCCAACTGACCCCCACTGACAGCCTGCTTGCCCCCAACTGGCCCCGCCCCCCACCAGCCTGATCACCCACAACTGCTGTCCCATCCTGGCCTGATCACCCACAACTGCCCTCACCTCTTGGCTTCTAACCCCCTCTACCTAGGCCCCGCCACTGTGGCTTTGTCCAGAAGAATGTCTGGAAGGTCTCCTGGAAGATCTCTCAGTCTAATTAGCATATTAGCCTTTTATTATGCATAGAGGCCTGATGCACAAGTGGGGACCGGCTGGTTTGCCCTGAAGGGTGTCCCAGATCAGGGTGGGTGTCTCACTGGGGTCCCTAGCCAGCCTGGGTGAGGGGCTGATGGCTGTTTGCAGGTTGGCCACGGTCCCGGAGACCCGAGCTCCTAGGCCCTCCTTTTATTCTTTTTTCCTTCCAGCGCCTACTTGAGCTAAGGCCGGGGCAGACTTGAAGGAGGTATCTGGGATTTATCCTATGTAATAAAGGGGTAATATTCAAATTGACCATATTTCCACTACACAAGCCATGCCTACCAGCCAATCAGGAATGAGTATGCAAATTAACCCAACCAAGATGGCTGTGGCCATGGAGCTGCAGCAAGCGGGAGGCTTAGGTTTCCCCGGCAATGGAAGAAACCAAGTTTCCCTGATGCCCTGGCCAGCCTAGGCCTATACTCAAGGCTACAAAGTTTAAATTATAGATGATAAACAAATCCCAGGTACCAGGGCCTCCGCTTGAGTCTCCAGGGTGCGTGGCCAGCCTGCAAATCACCACAGGCCCCTCACCCAGGCCACTCCATGCTCCAAGGAAACCCCCACCGACCTGGGACACCCTCAGGGCAAACAAGCTGGCCCCCATCCGTGCACCAGGCCTCTAGTCTATCTAATAAAAGAGTAATATGCAAATTGACCATCATTCCAACACACAAGATGGCTGCCCCCATGTGGTCAAAGATGGCCTCAACAAGATGGACAACAGAGGAGGGCAGTGGGAGGGACCAGGTCTGCAAGGGAGGGCAGTTGTGGTCAATCAGGCCAGCAGAAGGAGGCAGTTGGGAGGGACCAGTCCTGCAAGGGAGGGCAGTTGGGGGCGATCAAGCCTGCAGGGGAAGGCAGTTAGGGGTGACCAGGCCAGCAGAGGAGGGAAGTTGGGGGTGACTGGGCCTGCAGGGAGGGGAAGTTGGGGGGTAAGGGGGACAACCCAGGCCTGTAGGGGAGAGCAGTTGGTGGAGATCAGGCCTGCAGGGGAGGGCAGTTAGGGGCAATCAGGCTGGGAGGGGGCAGTTAGGCATCAATCAGGCTGGCAGGCAGAAGTGGTTAGGGCAATCAGGAAGGCAGGCAGGTGAGCAGTTGGGAGCCAGCAGTCCTGTATTGTGAGAGGGATGTCCAACTGTCAGGATTGGAGAGAATGCAGGCTGGGGTAAGGGGGTGTCCATGCACAAATTTCATGCTCCGGGCCTCTAGTTTATAACTGAAACTTTGTAGCCTTGAGTGGAGGCCAATGCTGGCAGGAAGCAGGTATTGGGATTTACGTATTCATCTTCTATAATTGAAACTTTGTAGCCTTGAGTGGAGGCCAGGGCTGACCAGGGTGGGTGAGAAGCTTGGCTTCCTCCATGGTAGGAGGAAGGTGATAAAAGAAGGTGAAGAGATTAGCCCAAGCCTCCTGCTCTCTCCAGCTCTGTGGCCACCGCCATCTTGGTTGGGTTAATTTGCATGCTCACTCTGATTGGTTGGTGGGTGTAGCGGAGGTATGATCAATTTGCACATTTCTCTTTTATTAGATAGTAAACGACACACAAAGACTCATGTGGACACTAGCAGACAGACTACATCATGTGCATAATATGTTCTGGCTATACCTACTGCACAATACATATGTGCACCTTGTAATATCTCAGAAAACTAACCACCACCTTCTCCCCATTAAAGATCAAAAATATCAGTTATCACTTCATGAATATCACATTAAAAAAAACTTCTTTTAAAATGCTTCCTATTACATCTTAATATTATTCTTAAATGTAATAGGAAGCATTTTAAAAGAAGTTTTTTTTAACATTTCATGCTTGCTTAATATAAGTTAGATGTAAATTTCTTGCAAAAATAATACAAGCTTGATGTACTCACTGTAAACTTCTCCTCCCTTTTCTTCCGGTAACCAAAGGAATTTTTTCTAGAGGAGAGAAAAGCAAAACAGTTAATTTTTCCCACTTGGAGATTTTTTTATTGTTGACACTATTACACATGTCCCCCATCCCCCACTCCACTTTGCCCACCTCTCCCTTGGTCTTCATCACTGCTGTCTATATCTATGGAATATGAATGTATGTTCTTTGGCTAATCTCTTCATCTTCTTTTATCCAATACCTCCCTCCCCTCTGACATTTGTCAGTTTGTTCCATGTATCCATGCCTTTGTTTCTATTTTGTTCATCAGTTTGTTTTGTTCATTAAATGTCACATATTAGTGAGATTATGTTATTTGTTTTTCTGACTGGCTTATTTTGCTTAGCTCAATAATCTCCAGGTCCATCCATGCTGTTGCAAGGAGTTAAGAGCTCCTTTTTTTTTTAATAGTCACATATTATTCCATTGTCTAAATGTACCCTCGTCTTTTTATCCACTCATCTACTGATGGATACTTGCGCTGTTTCCAGATCTTGGCTATTATAAATAACAAAGCTATAAACATAGGCGAATGTATTCTTTTTTATTGGTGTTTTGAGATTCTTAGGATATATTCTCAAAAGTGTGATCGCTAGGTCAAATGGCTGTTCCATTTTTAATTTTTTAAAAAAAGAGTAGTGACTGAACAAACGCCCAAGACTCACTTCCATCTTTTTAATCTCACCTCTCTAATGGAGTACAAGTGGCAGAAAGTAAGACAGTAAGCAGCGGCAAGCTGCATTAAAGGAAAGGAGAAAAGAGAGTAGGCATAGTCCACTGTTAGGATGTGGTAATGATCCAGATAATAACCACAGATATTGCGGGACCAATATACCTGACTGAACACCCATAGGGGATGGAAATTACCCCTAAATATGACCAATAGGCAAATAAACTTAGTACTGATGGAATTTAAACTCTTGTCTGCCTGGCTATACAACTCATTACCTGTTTATTGTGTGATCCTGTTGGCTGGAAAAGGAGCAATACTGGAACAGAAAATGTGGGCCCTCTGAATGGGCAGGAATGGGAGGAGACTAGAGGCTCACATATTGTGGAGTCTGGTATCTACTTTGCTTGAACAGCTCCACAAATAATTACTGTAACCTAACATGGTTCCATTCTATCCATAGTTTATATTACAACAAAGATGTGAACCAGTTAGGTCTCTGCTCTAAAAGTAACCCCTTTGGCCCTAGCTGGTTGGCTCAATGGATACAGCCTTGGCCTTGACTAGAATCAAACCCAGGAGTCTTCAGTTTAAAACAAAACAAAACAAAACAAAACACCTTAGGCAAGTTCAGCTAGTTATCTATAAGAGAGAGTTTCCTTCCTGACATCCTGTATCAAATAAACCATTGAGAGAACAAACTAATTCCTCAGTGGGAGGCATGCAGGAGGCAGCAAATTAATGATTCTCTTATCATTGATGTTTCTATTTTCCCCTGTCTCTATGAAATCAATAAAAAAATATAGTATTTTAAAAGTAATCCCTCTGAGTAGCTATATAAAACCTTTGATGGTTTAGTCTTCAATTTAATTTTCTGTGATGTATTAGAAAGTAATGATTATTAAAAACACAACTTAATTAATGAAATTTAAAAATATTAATAGTTTATCATTACATAGTACCCATCCAACAACAGTTCTGAGTAACTCACCTGCCTCTACCTAAGCCAGGAGAGGATTCGAGACTGCTCTGCTCTACCCGCCCGGTTCCTGCATCTCTCTTGGCAAAAGCTGGAGGGTTCTGTATGCGGGTTCTAGGTTGGCCTGTCTGCCTTGCTTGTGGGCTCCGCACACCATTAATTAACCGATCCGCGGTGAAGTTAAATATTGATGGACTTTCTAACAGCCCAGGTCCTCTCTCTGCACTAGGAATGGCGTGGCGCAGATGGGATTTACTAGGATTCCTGCAAATGAAATGTTTATAAAGGTTCAATTATGAGTGATCACAGCATGATGAAATAAGCATGCTCACACAGAAATGTCTAAGGTAAAATGTGCTCTCTATTTTGAAAAAATATTAAAGTGGAAAGAATAGTTGAAACATGATATGTCTGATAGTGCTGACAGTGCAAATCTATAACTACAGTATTAATTTTCAAATGAAAAGTAGGTTCACACAGTTGCACACTGCCCCAGAAGACTTTGTATATAGGCACTATATGTAGGCACGACAGAATCATTTTGGGTAATCATATGTTTCAAGTAGTTTTATCTCGGATGAACATTACTAGTGGTTAAGTATATCATTAGCAATCATCAGGAAGAGCCTCTTTACTTAAACAGGAGTCAGACACATGGTTAGAACAACCAAGGTTTAACACATTTTATTTTGCTTTGCTTTTAAAATATACAGTGGCAGTGACCTGTTATTACAAATAGTAGAAAAACAGCATTTTAGTGAGTCAAGCAACTTGCCTGCTTCTTGGAGGGTATTGTCTGAGTGAAGCCAGAGGAGTTGCGGCAGGTTTGAAGGTTGGAGACGTAAATCCATTTATAAATCCAGTATTTGGAAATGGAGTTACCTAGATTCATTAAAAATAAACAAGTCAACAAACCATAATCAGACTTTGAGTTGGTTAACACTGCCTAAGATGATAACCAATGCCATTCCTTGGTGTGTTAAGGAGTCTATGTTCCATTTTATACTTAAAATATTCCTTTAGGAAAAGCATTGTGCAAGATTAATGCTAACGGCCAAAGTCAGGCTGGGGCTAAGACCTTTTCCAATGCTGTTTCAGATGATCTTCCCAGCAATCGGATCCCCAAACATGGAAATTGACAAGAGAAGGAAGCACCTGCCAAGACCCCACATGCTTGTCTGAAAAGCCCAAGTGCTCAACCTACTGTACTGCAACACTACCTCCAAGCTGATAAAAAGTCAGCAAATTTCTCCTTAACCCCAATGACTTTAGTGGAATTCCTAAAAACACTTGTGGAGACAGAATCCCCAATGCAATAATGAGAAATTCCATAATTTGAAAGTCAGACTATTTAGAAATATGTCAATTACCCCAGAACTAGATTCTGACGATTGTTTTTCACAGGAAAACTCATCAAGAAAAATCCTTTCACGTATAAACTTTTACACGTAGAACTCTGGTATTTAAACAATTTTGCTTATGAGTTTATAAATAAGTTAGTTGCTAACACAGTAATTTAACATAACTTTCTGAGAATAAGCATCATCTGTTTACTTCTGCTCAAAAATGCAGTGTGTTTTAGAGCAGGCAAAGAGGCTCACATTCAGACCAGAGCCATCCCAAATGGCCAGACAACTGATCTAGGGTCCCAAAGCACCCCACTCTGGAGGGGGATACGTATTATTATAGAAAGTAGAAACACAAGCTAACTCAAGAACTAAACAGCACAAGCATGGCAGTGGTGTCATTTGGAGAAATTATTCAACACAAGAGGTTATGGACTTTCTTTCCTTTTACAGGTCTCCCATGACATATTAACTACATGGCTAGCAGTACACTTGTACAGAATATAGTAAATACTTCAAGAAAGTGGTACATTTTCATATATATATATAAAATTGATTTTTCACAGAGAGGGACAGAGTTAGAAACATCGATGAAAGAGAAACATCGATCAGCTGTCTCTTGCACACCCTCTACTGGGGATGTGCCTGCAACCAAGGTACATGCCCTTGACTGGAATCGAACCTGGGACCTTTCAGTCCGCAGGCCAACGCTCTATCCACTGAGCCAAACCGATTTTGGCACATTTTCTTAACATTAGGATTTATTAAGAGGCAGGCACAACTCTGCACGTTAGCACTTGTCTGCTACTGTCCTTCACTGAGTGGTTTTAGACTTTAGGGGCTCGGCGCCCATAAGGACCTCTCCTGACTCATCTCTCTACCCATCTGTCCTGCTCATGTCCCATACATCACAGATGCAATTCACATATCTCAAGACACATTTAAGAACCTGTATACATAGAGCTTACCAACATCACCTATCCAGTCCCCACCTCAGCTCCGAAACACTCACCACACCACAACCACCCCAGGAACCTCTGTGCATGCCATTCTCATGCAACTTCCTTCCCTTCCAGCCCTTCTGATATGCTCCACTTAGAGGATGACATACTATCAGATAAACCCCTAATTATAAGTCTCACACAATTCTGTCTACGTTCCATTTTTGCAATAATCATCTGCTTTACACACATGTTTTTTCCAGACTATTCCTTCATAGACACACATCTTTACATTCTAATAGGTAACAGGCACCCACCATCCAGCTGAGTCAACCCTCCTTCTCTCTGGCTCACCCTTTTCAGTTACCACCCTCCTTGCATCCATCAATCACTGTAACAAGCCTCAGGTGATGTCCCCATATGACTGGGCCTGGCTCACATCCTTCATTTCCCAAATTCCCTTGATGTGGTCCACAGCCATATCCTTGAAATTTTAAACTAAATTCTTGCTTCTGACCACAACCTTCCACACACTCTACCCTTTCATCGCTATGGTTTCAACAAAATCTGCTGGCAACCCGATGCAAGCCTCCCTCCAACCAACCCACTCCACCTCCCAAGCAGGGGGCCAAATGGCCACTTCTTTTCCTGCCGTAGATTAGCCCTGACACATCCACTACATCAAACTCATGCCCAGGGCCTACCCAATCTTTCTAATATCTGCCAACAGCACAGCTTAAGAAAAAGGACTGGGTCCATTACAAATCTATGAATTCTAACCACAGGCTTTAACAGAGCTCAAAATATGTAAAAAATAAGTATGCCAAGTGACTAGCATAGGGCTGCTGTGAGAAGTCACACTGATACGATGGCCTGTCTTCCACGCCTCCCTGATGTGAGAAATCTCTGAGAACACTGTTCTCCTTAAGGCATCCACCAGCTCCCCTGTACCCACCCAGAGCTGCATCACATTTTGTTTCACTAGGTACACATGTCCTTACATTTAGGAAAAGAAATGCTAGACAGGAGGGCAAGCAAACTGGGCCAAGGATTGAGTACAATGTTTGAAGGTTTTTAAATACACATGGATTCTTATTTATCTCCCAATTAAATTTAAAGCCCACCGCAGAACCAGGAGGTCTGTTTTTCTATAGCAAGCTGTAGACGTATCTGTTTTACTTATCAGACAAAGCTCTTTATCCTTCAAAGTGTCAGTGTCCACAACACAACTTTCTTCACATAAAGGACAAGAAAAGACAAGACTCACCAAGGGAGGATCGAGATAGCTGTGTGTTGCTGACCACGTCTGGGGAGTAATCAGGCTATAGAGAGGGAACTGCTGCTGGGGGCTGTAGATGGGAGGCAAGTAAAAGGATGCTGCGTATCGGTGCTGCGTGTAAAGGCTCACATCCAGGGGCCTGAATCCATTCTTTGGCAAAAATGTGTTTATAGCTATTGCCTTTGCTTTTATCCGTGCCTGTGTGAAAATACAATAAGTGTCTATTAGAATACTTTAGAATATTGGTTTACAAATAAAATATAACCAGTGGTCTTGCTTACCTTAATTGGTTTTCCTTGAAAAGTTTTGACTTCTTCTCGCAGGTATTTGTAAGCCTAAGGATAAAATCATCCAAAATACCATTGTGTTAATCTTACAAATAAGGTGGACTGACAGTTAATACCTCAGATAAGGAATTATATTGTTAAAATACAATGGGCAAGACCTAGAACTGTGATTCTTAATCGTCTTTGGGCCACAGATGCCTTTTTAAAATACAACCTGATAAGATCTATGGAATCTCTACCCAAAATTCTCACCAACGACATCTGTATACATTTTGCAAGTATTAATAGATAACATGAAAGGCTCCCAGAGACTACAGGCTAGAATCCTGACCCAGGGGAAGCAACGAACGGGTGCTGAATTCCTAATAATAACCAGAACTTAAGACTGACATTACAGTTTTGGAAATGAAAAAACTATGAACCAGGAGGTCATGGTTCCATTCCCAGCCAGGGTATATGTCCAGGTTGTGGGCTTGATCCCCAGAATGGGGGCGTGCAGAAGTCAGGTGATCAATGAGTCTCTCTCATCACTGATGTTTCTATCTCTCTCTCTCTCTCCCTTTCTCTCTGAAATCAATTTTAAAAATGTATTTTTTAAGTCTTTATTCTTTCCCAAATCCGACCCCATAACACTGAAGGCTCTGACCCACTTGCTACCTGCTTCTCCTAGGAGCCTCCTCCCACACAATCCAATTAAAGTCCGCTTTTCAGATGCTTGTTTCTGTCCTTTGAACCCCCTGCATTCAAACGATTTAACGCTGAGAGCTTCCTTTATACGTGCTCCTGTTTCCCCAGAGAAAAGTCTTCCTTTCAGGGCAAGGAGACCGTCCTAACTCCTGTGACTCCTCCCAGAGCCTTGTGCCTTCAAGTATCTTGTAACACATGTGATGCCAAGTGAAAGATAAGGTCAGGTTCGAATTTCCCAAAACACTTGCCAAATAGTAAGACCTGTCTCTGCCCAGATACAAGAACAGAATTGTTCTAGGCTGCTTGTCTTACATATCCTTAGACTATAGTGTCACTTGCTTTTCATATTTCTACAAAAACTGTCTACAAATATACACCTATTCAAGTTTCTACAACTTGACTTCCTCTGCACTGTATATTCAAACTGAACTCTGAAATGTGACAGCAGCATCACTGCCCAAATTTAGTTCCACTATGTACTTAATTGTTAAGTACTGATAAACTATGTACTTCTTGAGGAAGAGAAGTTTACCTGTTGGGCATCAGCTTCTGTTTCAAATGTAATAAACCAATTATCATTATAGGCAAATTCACAGTTTATAAATTTTGGTAAATTATCTCCTTTAAATAGTGCTTCTACTTCCTATGGGAAATAGAAAGGTTAGAAATTAATTTTCAACCATGCCATCTTTTCCCACATGAAATACAAATGATACATACTCTCAAGACAGAGCCTTAGAATCTAACAAACTGATATCCATTGAATCACTCCTTCAAAATGGCTAAGAAGGTTAAATGTGGCTTCCAGAATTGGGGTCCCATTGCTATAGGAACATAAGTCCACAACTTATTTACAGCTTTCTCTACTCCCAAGACACCATTAAGCTAAATTAATGTGAAAATATAATTTTACCAGTAGCTGGGGGTGGGAGTGGGGATTTAAGAAGTTTGAAAATTAGCTGGACCTTTGCTTCTGGCCAAGGGAAGCCAGATTTAGCCTTTCACATGAAACAAAAACAAAATACATGGAATAACAGTTTTCAGACCATGCAACACAGGTAAGCTAGGGAGAGCCTAGCTCACACCTGGAGTTAACAGGCCACAGTGCTAGGAGGGTGAGCCTAGCAGAGCACAGCCTAGTCAGTCCAGCCTCTCCAGGGCCCTCTCCAGGGCCCTCTTCAGGGCACAAAGAGGGTGCTGCCCCAGTCAGCACAGGGAAATCAGCTCTAGAGGAAAGGCAGCTTTGCCCCCACCTAACCACTTCCCCTAAGGACGAATCGGCTTCCAACTCAGACAACTGAATCTCAAAACAAAGCTCAAGAATATTCAAGAGGAAGGACTATAAAACATTACAGTCCAAACTGCCTGGCATCCATTCAAAGTTTACCAGGTATGAAAAAAAAAAAAATGATGTGACCTATAATGAGAAAACTCCAATCAAATAAAAAATATTTTTAATGGTCTATACGAAGACTTTCCTTCATTCTCTCAAGGAACGACCATCAGCATGTTTTACTACACACATGCAACTCAGTTTAAACATTTGGATATGTCACAGATTTTACAGCAATTCTGTGACAGTAGGTTACTTTTCACAATTCAAAACAATCAAATCTGTGGGCTTTTCCCCCTAAAATTATTGCCTAAGTTAGAACTCTTCAAATTATGATCTCTATATACTCCATTTATATAAAAAAAGATGCCTTTGTGCCCTAGCTAGTTTGGCTCAGTGGATAGAGCATCGCCTGAGGACTGCAGGTCCCAGGTTAGTTTCAGGCCAGGGCACCTATGCTGATTGCAGATTCGAACCCTGGCCCTAATCAGGGTGCATACGGGAGGCAACCAATTGATGTGTCTCTTTCATATTGATGTTTTTCCCTCTCTCCCCACCCCATCACCTTCTTCCACTCTAAAAATCACAGGGAAAAATATCCTTAGGTGAGAATTAAAAATTTTTAAATTATTTTTTTTAAAGATGCCTTTGTCTTTTTACTAAGACAACATCTGCACTGATGTAGGCCCATCAGCTGGAATGAAGCACAAGCTGCTCCTGCTCACTCCACTCTTTGCAGCATATCCTTGTCATGAAAATATTTGTTTTGAAAAGTGATGGTCTTTATTTTAATTTGTAGGTTTATTATTATTACTTTAAAGTAAATAAATCCTTAAACGTTTTCTTTTAATTTCTGAACACTGAAATCACCATTATTTTTTTAAATGTAAATTTTGCAGTGAAGTCCTGAGACCAAAAAGTTTAAGAACCACTCACACATATGAATCACATTGAAATCATCAGTGTATAAATTCTGGGAAAAGAGTTAATGAACATATGCATTCTTTAAAATACACTCTTCAAAAAACACAGAAGTAAACAAAAAACTACACAAAAGGAGAAATGACTTACTTCTATAGGGGTGGATTCAGAAATTTCACGTAATATTACTATGCAACGATTTTGATTTGGCCTTACTTTTTCTCCCTTCTCATCCACTTGAACTAAAGGTAAAGCTATAAAGAGAAGAAAAAATGAATGGTAAAACAAAATATTAAAACATACCAGTCATTTATATTCCATTATGATATAATATAGATACTTCAGTAGGATGTTACACTATGGAACTAAACACATAAAAAACCCCCTGTATATATTGTAAATTAGCTAAAGGTTTTAAACTAATCTTGCATATTACATTTCTCAGAACTATAGAACATGATTTAAAAGTCCTTTAAGAGGTATAATCAATGTTACCACTATGAAACAAAGGTTCTAAATACTCCAATAACTAACAATTACAATTCAGGGTTAATGGCTTTTCCTTTCTACAAGTCTCCTTAAATAAAATAATTTTCTGTCTTATTATGACTTTTCATTTTGAATTCAAAAGAAGTAAAGATTAAGAAAGCTGCTAATGCCCAGCTGGCTTGGCTCAGAGGTTGAGCATTGACCTATGAACCAAGAGGTCACGTTTTGATTCCCAGTCAGGGCACATGCCTGGGTTGTGAGCTCGATCCAGTGTGAGGCGTGCAGGAGGCAGCCAATCAATGATTTTCTCTTATCACTGATGTTTCTCTCTCTCTTTCTCTCTCCTCCCTCCCTCTCTCCTCCCTCCCTCTCTCTTTCTCTCTCTCTCTCTCTCTCTCTCTCTCTCCCTCCCTCCCTCCCCCTCCCTTCCTCTCTGAAGTCAATACAAAAATATATTTAAAAAAGAACAAAAAGGAAAGCTGCTGGCCTTTACAAGTGGGTCAGATGGAACCAATCTCAACTAATAAGTAAAATAGGTTCCTGTTCTAAATGAACATTCAAAAAAAAGCAACACTGGGAAACACACTAGTTTTCAGAATTCAAACTTCATAAATTATGTTTTTGCCAGTTTCTTCATTATTTGTTTCAATAATTTAATGACCTCATGACATTGCCTAGAAACAGAAAAAAGAGGAAAACCTTCATTTGTGAATAGAAAATCTAACTATGTTTGTAAGGTAAGATGTTTCTCTTTTTTTTTTTCTACTCCTAAATGGACACAGGAAAAAAAAAAAAATCTTCACTGACTGTCCACAGTACAACTAAGCCAGGGAGAATATGTAAACACTTTTGCATAAGAGTCAGATGGATAGTCATGGCAGTAACTCAGAGAAATGCGGCTTTAATTCGGGCACAGTGATTACCCATCACTTAGAAATATTTGGGTGGGGTGGGGGACACGCATCGTACTGTGTTCTTTGGGAATGCCCATCAGAGCTACTCAGTAGTGCAGTTCTGAGGAGGGATACTATAGAAATTATTCACCCAATACTTGTAAACAATATTATAAAATGAATTTTTATACTTAAAAATAATCCCACTAAAAAAAAAAAAATCAAACATATCATACATTTAATATAAAACTAATTCCCACTGAAGCCATTCTGGGTAGGAATGGAGAGATAAATATTACAAAGGGCCCCAGGAAACTTTGGGCAGTGGTGGACATGTTTGTAATCTTGATCATGGTGAAGATTTCACTGATGTATACGTATGTCCAAACTGATTCAACTGCACTCCTTAAATATGCATAGCTCACTAAATGTCAATTACACCAAGAGGCCAGATTATTATGCTTTTAGAGATCATAATCTCTAAAATCTATAGGATATACACTGAGTGGCCAGATTATTATGCTTTTAGAGATCATAATAATCTGGCCACTCAGTGTATATCCGATATAATAAAAGGCTAATATGTATGTTGTCCCCTTGACCAGTTAGACCACCAGGCAGACTGGCCAACTGCCCATGTGCCCTCCCCCTGGCCAGGCTAGCCAGACCCCCACACATGCACGAATTCATGCACTGGGCCTCTAATATATGTGTGTGTATATGTGTATATGTATGTATATATGTATGTATGTATGTATATATGTATGTATGTATACACACAGAGACACACACTCCCCCCCCCCCCCTCTCTCTCTCTGAGTGGCCAGATTATTATGCGTTCAGATCATAATACTGTGGCCACTCAGTGTATACCTGTGATAAAGTGGTTTTAAAAAAATAAATAAAATGGTTAGGTTGTAGAAAACTAAATATGCAAAGCAAACTAGGGCACCAGCAAACTATACTTTTTTATTTTACCCTCACTTGAGTTTTGTGTTTTTTTTGTTTTGTTTATTTTCCTCATTGATTTCTACAGAGGGTGGAAGGGGGTATCGGGGAAGAAAGAAAGAGAAAAAAATATCAACACACATCGATTGGTTGCCTCCCCCACCGGGCTGGTGCCATGGAAGCTGCAACAGAGGTGTGACCTTGTCCAGGAATCAAAAACAAGACCCTTCAGACGCACATAGCAGGTTAACTATTTTTATCCACATTTCCAGAAACACTGTGGGCCTCTAATGTACCCATATAAACCTTCCTTTGATGTTGCCAAATGTCTAAGAAACAACTTCATTCACAAAATCCTATAAGGAAAAACAAAATTTCACCAAACTTCAGTAGGAATGTGAAATTTGAAAGGAACTACTTTAGTGACTAGAATGATAATTAAAATGTATTTTACTTTAAACAAAATTATCACAATTTATTTTACTTTTTCTTCATGTCATAACTTCTTTTCATTTCTCCATGGGCCTTTTCCACTCCCTAGATCTATGATCAATTATGGAACCCATCAACGCCATTGCCATGAGCATCTCCCCACAATGGGGACCAGTCAGAAAGGCCCAGATTTCAGGGAAGAATCCAATTGCCATGAAGGACCTACAGAATTGAATGACTGTAGATCTAATAGTCACACTGGTAAAAAAAAAAAAAAAAAAAGTATATGTATATGTATATGTATGTGTATGTGTATGTGTATGTGTATGTGTATGTGTATGTCACCAGGTACAATGAAGCCTAGACTGTCATTCACTTACATCTCAGCACTTCAACAATCAAGTCCAGGTCGGTGCTGAGCTTCTTGATGTGGTCCAGATTAGCCACTGTGGTGATTGGCACGTACTGATCACTATCCATCTGCGATATAAGGTACATGTCACTAGCAAGATTCTCCCTGCAGAAAGAAGACAATCTCTCTTAATTAACATTTCTTTAAGAGGAAGCCTTACAAGGATATGAGTGTGGTGTGATGTCACTTCAGAGTTAGTTCAGACCCAACCCCACCTGTTATTTGCCTTAGGTCAATTTTTTTTCCAAAGACATTTAGGAAGCAGAGAGAATAAAAGTAAAAATATACTGTCAAAACTAATCTTTATAAAATGTATCTTATAGCTATCTGTTCTAAAGAGTGTTTTAAGTAGCTTATTAAAAGCACAAACACAATTTTTTAAAGTAAGGAAATACAATTGAAAGAACAAGAAAATAAGAAAAATATGAAAAGACTAGGAAAGGTTGGTGACCAAAGTGCTTGCTGTTCAGTCTGAAATATTTCCCAGCACTTTCTAGCAACCAGGATTAAAAAGAAGGAAACTTGATCATAACATGACTTACAGGATCACAAGCTAAGTCACAGATAACCAGTCTGGGTGAATATGAGCTACTTCCTGGTATTTTGGCCTATGATGAACATTCTCAAGTATTAAGGCAGGCCCAGAGAAAAAACTGAAAAATCACTAATGCCAGATAAAATTTTACACATGCCAAACAGTTATCTTCTCACTAAAAACGATTACATTTAACTCAATTCCATCTTCTTGTTTGTTCCGTCCTTCCATTTGAATTCTAAAACTTCTATTTTTCAATAGAAAAAATATTTGGGAGGTGGGGGGAGAACACATCTAAAAATATGAATGTTGCATGAGTAAAACAATCTACTAGTGCAATGTTTGGCATATTTTAAAAACTAGTGCAGGAAATTTTTTCTCAATCTTTAGTGTGCTGAAAATTGTCTTTGTAAGATAAACAACCTAAGGCCCCATAACTCAGAATCTGGGTTTGGAGGGGGCCCAGGAATCAAAATTTTAAAAAACAAACCAGATAACAATCATTAAGATGAATTTGTGGACAACTATGGAGGACTCTGGCCTACAGTTCTCCAACATGTCAAAGGTTACTTACTCACTATGACAGATTTCCTATTAATAGATGTATACAGACATAGATATTAACAGATGTACACTCCTTTTATGTAAAGCATCACATCTATCCTATATAATAAAGAGGTAATATGCAAATTGACCATCACACCAACACACAAGATGGCCACCACAAGGTGGCTAGCAGGGGAGGGCAGTTGTGGGTGATCAGGCCTGCAGAGGAGGGCAGTTGGGGTGACCAAGCCAGCAGGGGAGGGCAGTTGGGAGCAACAAGGCCTGCAGGGAAGGACAATTAGGGGCGACCAGGCCGGCAAGGGAGAGCAGTTAGGGGCAATCAGGCCAGCAGGAGAGCAGTTAAGCATCAATCAGGCTGGCAGGGGAGTGGTTAGGGGGTGATCTGACTGGCAGGCAGAAGTGGTTGTGGCAATCAGGCAGGCAGGCAGGCAGTTGGGAGCCAGCAGTCCTAGATAGTGGGAGGGATGTCCGATGCCCCTTTCTATCACTGATGGGTCTTGATCCAGCATCTAGAAGGGTTCTGGAATCTGGAGAAGGGGCTGTGTGTAAATTTTAAAAAAGTCCAGAGACGTAACATAATTTTGAAAGAGGAGGGGAGAGGGAGTGTGTGAGAGGAGCTTGGCTGAAAAAAAAACAAGTTCTCCATATACATATAAAAGCCTAATATGCAAAGTGTCTCCTCAGGAGTTCGACCGACTAGGAGTTCGATTGCTCGCTATGATGAGTGCTGACCACCAGAGGGTGACACCAAATGAAGGAAAACCCTGGTCAGCAGCCTCTAGGGACCCTACCTGTGCATGAATTTCGTGCACTGGGTCTTTAGTCTGTATATAATAGCCAGTGCAGAATACCACAAGTATTAGATACTAGAAACACTACTACCATCCTTACCTGGATAAGCAGAATTCCAATGTTTTTTTAAGTACTTCTCGGGGGTCTTCCTGGCTTTCTGATTGAGACTCACTTCCTCCTATACAAAATAGTCAACTCAGGAAAAATGGCTTAAAATTTACAAAGCAGATGATTCAGTAATGCTTTCAATATACATATTAATTCATTTAGTGTATAGAGAATATAAGAAAAATGCTGTTGTACCTACTAAAAAAGGAAAGCAGAAGCAAATAAATAAATAAATAAATAAATAAATAAATAATCCCTTCATCCCCAAAGAAAAACACAGTTTAAAAAAAATAATCTGATTATCAGATTTATTACCAAAGTTTAGCAGGTGCTTTTTATCACATAATATGTGCAAGTTTATGCTTTGTCTTAATTCTAAAAAAAAAAATTTCAGACAGCCTACAAGAACACAGATAATAAAGCAATAATAAAATATAAAGAATCAAAATAAGGAAAAGATAAATACAGGCCAAAAAAAAAATCAAGGATGAGGATAATAAACACACAGGCTGTAAGGACCACACAATTCCTACACAAGAGCCTTATAAATGCGCCTTTAAAATTTGAGATAATCAAAGTCACAAGTGAGAAATTGTGGCATTACAGGGATGCGACTGAGAATACTAAATAAATAGATCCTTAAGAGGAAACTTTAAGATTGAGAAAACTAGTAAGTCTACCTCAGGCAGAAGGTCATGGTCAATATCAGTGATAAATCATGCTGCTGACACTAAGTACTCTGAACATGATGGGATAAAAATGGCACTTGATCTCTGTGGTCTTTTTATCCTTCAAACCCATAACTCTGGTATGATCATGAAAAAAAAAAAAAAATCAAATTCCAACAGGAATAGAAGCGCAGGACATTGGTTTGGATCAGTAGCTAGAGCATCGGCCTGCGGACTGAAGGGTCCCAGGTCTAAATTCATTAAAGGGCAAATGCCCCGGTTGTAGGCTCAATCCCCATTAGGGGATGTGCAGTAAGCAGCTAATCAGTGATTCTCATCATCGATGTTTCTATCTTTTCCTCCCTTTCCCTTCCTCTCTGAAATCAATAAAGAAACGAAGTTAATTTACCAGTCCTCCTTAAGACTACAAGGTCATCAAAGGCAAGCAAAGTCTAAGAAATTGTTACATCCTAGAGGAGCCTAAGAAGACATGACAACTAAATATAATTTGGTATCCTGGAATAGGTAAAACGTACCAGTACTGCATTAGAATTTGTGGCAGATACATCATACTAATAATGTAAGATGTTAAGAACAGAAGGTACTGCCCTGCAGGTGTGGCTTAGTTGGTTGGAGTTTTGTCCAGTAAACCAAAAGGTCTCAAGGGTTTGATTCCCAGAGAGGCAACAAATCCATGTCTCTCTCTCTCTCTCTTTCTCTCTCTCAAGAGAAAAAAAAAAAAAAAAAAAAAAATCAATAAACACATGTATTTAGGTGAGGATTTAAAAAAAATAGAAGGAACCGAGAGCACTCTGTACACAATCTTCTCAATTTTTCTGTAAATCTAAAACGAGTCTTAAGCAAATGGCAAGGCAAGAGACTCAAAGCTAACCATATCAATTACCACAGAAAATGTAAATATTCTAAACATTTTAATTTAAAGCAGAGATCATTAAGACTTGACTTTTTATAAAAACAAACAAAACTCAAATGTTGTATTATCTATAAAAAATGTACTTTAGTAAATATAAATACCCAAATAAGTTAAAAGTAAAAGGATGGAAAAAGATACACCCTGCTAGTCAAAATAAAGCTGAGGGACATTATTAGACAGAGTAAATTCAGGGCAAAGACAATTAATTACCAGGAATAAAGAAAGTCATTTCATGACAGAGGAGTCAATTCATCAAGAGGTCATAGCAATTCTAATACAGAGTTCCAAAAAAAATGCATGAAGCAAAAACTGGTAAAGCTAAAAGGAAAATAGACAAATCCAATACTGATAAAATACCTCTCTTAACTGACAGAACAAGTAGGCAGGAACCAGGAATACAGTAGATTTGAATAAGACCTGACTGATATTTATAGAACACCCCTATACTAACAGCAAAATACACATTCTTCTTTAGTGCAAAGGCAACATTTACTAAGGCTGCCAATATTTTGGGCCAAAGAGATTCATGTCATACAAAGTTTGTCCTTTGCTGGACCCAAAGCAGCCAGGTCGGGAGCAGCCAGGCCCGGAGCAGCCGGGCTCGGAGCAACAGAGGCCAGGCCTGAAGCAACAGCGGCCAGGCCCGGAGTAGCCGGCCCGGAACAGCACGCTCCTCGCCTGCCCATGCCCCAGGGCTGCTTCTCAGACATGGCTGGAAACTTTTGGGGGAACTTGAGGGTCTGCTGAATCAAGTGATGAAGGCTTAGATCTGGACGTGTTGAGTTGTTGTAGCGCTAGGGTGTTGGTCTGTGAGTGCCTTGTGTGGGTTCTGGATGAGGTTGGTTGATCTATTTGGATGTGTCTTTTGTTTGAAGAGGAGGTATTATTGATTTGAGAAAATGCTAAGTAATAGATTTGCTACCTGAAAAATTTAAAATTCTGAAAGTTTAAGGTGTCTTGCCAAAAAGAGGTTTTAAAGCTAACATCTTAATTTTAATGGAGAAAGGGGAGGACATGCCCTTCCCACCCAGAACAGGTAATCCAATTCCAGCCAGCAGCTATCTTTAAACAATGTGTTCATTTACATTTGAATGGCTACGCCTTTTGATAGACCAAGGGCAAGTTTACATGTAAACAAGTTTGCTTCTTGGTTTCCAGGGCAGAAAAAACAAGGTTTAAAATTATTAGATTTTAAAATTTATTCTGAAAAATATAAAAGTTTATTAATTAAAAAAAAAAACAAGGAAATTAAAAAACCTGATGAACAATATTAACTGTTAATTATAATAGAATCAGAGATACAGGAGGGGAGGGGACTGACAATTCTTAGGGAAAAAGGGGAGTGATGGATGAGGGAAGAGACTGAACATAAACTGCACCTATGGATGAGGACAATGGGGGGTAGGGGAAGGGCAGAGGGTGGGGTGGGAACCTGGTGGGGGGGGGGAATGAGGAACTTTTGTAATAATATGAACAATAAAGATTGATTTAAAATTAAAAAATAAAAATAAAAAAACAAAGCATGTCAGAGATTAAATTAGAAGTCAATAAAAGAAAATTCCCTGAAAAATCCCTCAAATACTTAGAAACTAAGTTAAATACTTCTAAATTACGTTTGGATTTTTTTTTAAATGTAGGAAGGAAATTAGAAAAACATTAAAACTGAATTTAAAAGAAAGACACAATTTTTGATATTGTGCTAAAGCAGTACTTAGAAGGAAATTTATAGAACTAATGGCTATTTTAAAAAAAGAAGAAATGGCCCCATATCAATGAGTTCAGCTTCTGTCTTGTAAGATACTAGAAAAAGAACAAATTAAACCCAAAGTAACAACAAGATTTAAAGCAATTAGATTTAAAGCAATGAAACAAGAAGAAAAAGAACATTGAGGAAATTCCTCCTATACAAAATAGGAGGAATGAAACCAAATACTATTTTTTTTTAAATCAATAAAATGGACAAAAGTCTACCAAATTTGATTGGGGGGTGGGGTGGAAATACAAATTACCAACAGAAATGAGTGATGTGACAGATTCTATAGATTAAAAGGATAAATAGAATAATATAAGCAACTCTATCCAATAACTTTGACAATTTATGAACTGGTTCAAATCTTTGGAAGATATAAGTAACTAAATCTCCCTCAAGAGGCAATAGATAACCTGAGAAGCCATATATATTTAAAAAATCTCTCTCAATCTCAATCTCTCTCTCTCTATATATATACACACACACACACACACACACACACACACACACACTTATATATGTATATAAAAGATGTAATATGCAAATTAGCCAGACGCCATAACGGGTCAGGACCGGACAGGAGGAGGTTGCATGCATAGGTGAGGCCCGGAGCAGAGATAGACAGAGACAGGGGGGCCTGCTTGAGCCAGTACAGCAGCTCGGGTGGCTCCAGAGCAGACATGGGCCAGGGGATACTGCGAGTCAGGTGCAGGTCCCAGCACCCCTCCTCGGAATGCCTCCTTGCATGGCGGGAGGCGGGGCACCACTAGGCCTCTAGTAAAAGATAAAAACATTTAGGTGAAAACTTTCCCACAACAAAATTGTAGGCCTAGATATTTCCATTTTTAAAAAAATATTTTTATTGATTTTTTTACAGAGAGGAAGAGAGAGGGACAGAGTCAGAAACATCGATGAGAGAGAATCATCGATCAGCTGCCTCTTGCACACCCCCTACTGGGGATGTACCCGCAACCAAGGTACATGCCCTTGACTGAAATCGAACCCAGGACTTTTCAGTCCGCAGGCTGACGCTCTATCCACTGAGCCAAACCAGTTTCAGCGATAACTTCATTTTTTAATTTAAGGAAGAAATAATAAATTCATAAAAAACTTGAACAGGAAGGAATACATCAAAAAGAAAACTACAGACCAATATTACTGACGAACACAGATGTAAAAATTCTAAGCAAAATTCTGACCAATCTAATCCAACAATGTATCAAGTATATTACATTATGAACTAAGTGAGGCTTTTCCCAGGAATGTAAGTGTGATTAAATGTTTGAAAAATCATAATATAATTCACCTTTAACACACTAAAATAGAAAAAAAAATATATGACCATCACCACAGATGGAGGAAAAGCAAGACATATTTCAAGAACCATTACACATAAAAACTCCAAGGAAAACGTAACTGAAGGTACCTCATCAAAACAATACTGGTCATATTGGTAAAAATAACTAACATTTTACTCAATTCAAAGACTGTTTTCCCCCTTAGTTCAATCAGATTATGTTCATCTTTGCAATGGAAAATCTATCTAGTACAATCAGGCAAGATAAAGAAATAAAGGGTACCAGACTGGATAGGGGAAAAAACTGAATTTATTCACAGATAAATTCACATCTATGTAGAAAATCCAATGGAATCTACAGAAAAGTTCCTAAAACTAGTTAAGTGAGCTTAATAACAAGTTTACAGGGTATAAAGTCAATTTATAAAAATTAATTATATTTCTATCTACTGATAAAAAATTGCTTAACAACTGCTTAATTTATTTAATAAACAAATTAAATTTTTTTAAAATCACAAGAGAATAGCCCCCCAAAACAAAAAACTTAAGGATAAGTTGAATAAAAGATGTGAAAGACCAGTACACTGAAAAAAACCACAAAACAAAACAAAACAAAAAAGGCACACCACCAAGCCAAGAAAAACCAAAGACCTAAACACGTGGAAACATATATCTTATTCATGAATACTGCCTTAGGATGTCAATTTTCTCCAACTGATATATAGATTCAATGTAATTTCAATTTAAAAAAAACCTCAGCATTTTATAGCTAATAACCATCTTATTCAAATTTGTATGAAAATGGAAATTAGAAAATCCAAAATAACTCTGAAAAAGAACAAAATGAGAGGGCTAACACTACCTGTTTTAAGAATTACTTACAGTAATCAAAACAGTGTGGCATTGAATGGAAGAACATCTATACTTATAAAAGTCTAAGAGACCGTTCAACCAGTAACTATGATGCACACTAGCCACCATGGGGCAGACGCTCAATGTACAGGCATGAAAACATGGAACAGATTGATGAATCTCAGAGGGAAGGGGGCTGGAGGAAAGGAGGAGGAGATTAATTAAAGATCTTGTATGCATACTAGAGGTCCAATGTATGGATTTGTGCACTGGTAAGGTCTGTTGGCCTGGCCTACAGGGACTGTCTGAAGACAGAACAAAAGTTGTGAAAGATTTACCAGAAAATAACTTCTCTGGGCCACTGTGGGCCATGCTAAGGGCCCACTGGAAGTTGGTGATCATGAACTTAAAGCAAAACTATACTTTTATGTAGTTTTGTTCAGTCACATATATCTATCCACTCAGGAATAGGCACATTATAGGTAGATAATTATATTTAAACAAGTTTGAAGCATTTGCTAAGCAACTATGAAGGAAGTAATGAAATGAAGGCAAAAGGCGGGTCATGGGAGATTACAGATGTCAGGAGAGACATTCAACAAGAGCTAGCCAAATTAGCAACAGTGCAGACATGGTCTTCAAGGATGTTACCCTTTAAGGGAAAAAATAAATATATAATGCCAAACACTTACTGTACATGGTGCTCTGTGTGTACCTCTTGTATGTAACAACACTTGGTTGTGAGAATACAACACATAAAGGGAGGGTGTGCTTTCTCATTCATGTACCTTGTTTAACTCAAGTACATGGTGCTGTGTGTGTACCTCTTGTATGTAACAACACTTGATAGTGAGAATACAACACATAAAGGGAGGATGTGCTTTCTCATTCATGTACCTTGTCTAACTCAAGTTTATCTCTAGAAGAGAGACTGAGCACACTTCACCTGCATCAGCTCTGCTAGCCAACTTAGGGTAGCTATTCCTTCCAATTAAGGTGCCCCAATCAACTGTCAATGAAAGTGCAGCCTACCTCTTAGGTCTCTGGGGTCTTAGATTATGTCAGAAACAAATTTGGAGGTGAGTTTTGATGTCCCATAACCTTTAGGCACTTTTATATCCACCCATATCCAGGCTCCCCCCTCCAAATGAACTGCTCTCTTTTCCTTTTCTTTAATTCTTCTGAAAATAGCTTTAAATACCTCTTTAAAAAGACCCAACTTCTTTTGAACTTGACTCTCAATTTCACACTAATGTTCCCCGTCTGTGGTCTCACACTTTGCCCTATGCTTCACTCAGTCCAATGGGACTTGCTTTGTAGGAAGTGCTCAGGACTCACACTCTTTCTGTGATGCCTTCCCAGATCAGAAAGGAGTTTAAAATAAATTCAAAGGAAGCAATATCAGGCACATTATGCAGGGAAAGATTTAAAAAGCTAAATTTCGAAAAGCAACATAAAAAAGCCTGTACTCTATATGAAAATGAATTCATAAAGCAGCTTTACCTGTTTCACTGTTTTCAGGCAGAGACTCATATTCAGAGTGATCCAGAGCCAAAGTATTCATGGCTGTTTGGTCCAACTCCTGCAACTCTGACAGTGCTGCATTTTCATGACTTTTGTCACCATCTCCATTGGCATCCAATTCTGTAATTAGGAATTTTATCCCAGAAGATAGGTTAGAAGAGTAACTTTCTCTTAAAACAAAGCAAAATAAAACAAAAGCTTATGTATATAGTTAGTTTGATTTTTTTTTAAGTTGATGGTGAAAGAGGGCATGGCTCTTAAATAGTATCACAAACCAGGACACAAATTTTAATTAACAATTTCTTAAAAGACAATTTAAAAGGAAACAAAGACCAAGCCTGGAGAGCAAAGATACTCCTCATGGCATTGAGCTCACCACTCACCCTCCTGGCTGTAGTCAGGGCGCTGGCAAGGGGTGTCCTCCCAGGCTGCATTCACACCACTGTCTGACGCACTACCTGCCTCCAAATGTAACACAGGTGTCCCCCATACTTTTGCATTGGGGTTTAGTTCCGAAACCTTGGCTGTCGGTACCTAAGAAAAATTTTGATATATGCATTTGTATCCAAATTCTAATCAACTGCAATTAAACTTAATCAGAGTTAACATGCAGAGAATTTATGCTAAAAAGGGCTGAGCCTATGTACACATACTTTGGGGGTGAAGTCAAGGGCAACAGTAATAAAAGTGGATGCATTCAGAACTCAACTTAATTTGTCATTAGAATCTAAGGCTCTCTAGAGATAGTAACTGATAAATAATATGGATACAATTATCATCAATGCTCTAGACTACCCAACAAAATTTGCCAAATTGCAAATCTGAATAGCACATAGAGAAAATATACACTAATAAAAGAAATATGCAAACTGACCATACTCTGTGGCGCCCATCACCCAATCAGGAGTATGCAAATTAACACAACAACAAATATGGCAGGTTAATTTGCATACACAGACACGGAGTGGCTAGGATGCCTGCTATGAGGGGGGTTTGGGGGGGGGGGGGGCTGGGGCGCACACAGAGGGAGCTACAGGAGCGGTGCTCCGGCTGGAGCAGAGAAGATTAAAGGCTAAAGCTGGAGCAAAGATGGAAGGCAGCAGCTAGAGCAAAGGCCTGGTCCCGGGTGCCAGAGGAAAACCGGGTCCGGCAGCCAGGGGAAGGAAGTCCTATTGCGCGAATCTTCGTGCAACAGGCCTCTAGTTTGAAAATAAACCTCAAACACTCATATAAACAAACGATGTGGAAAATGAAAGTTCTTCCATAAAAAAGGTCATTAATAGCTCTGTCAGAGGGTGCTAGATGGGGCACTTCTGGTACCATGCTCATTTCAGAATCACTAGACTCTTGCTATCCAGACATACCAGATGCTTCTGCTCTTTTGTCCCACATACTCACACTATCCCAAGTACTCACATGCTACCACCTTCACCTTCTTTAAGGATTGGGGAGGTCTTTTCCAGTGAACCTTATTAAACTGACAACCACCTGATTTTTCTTCTGCTCACTTGAGTGGCTCCACAAGTCTAAAGAAAAGTTAATGTCAAAAATGATGCTCAAAAAATAAAAAATAAAATGCTGCTCCTCAAATTAACTTCAGTTCTGCTGCCATAATCTTTCAGCAAACCCAGACAAATTATTCACCTTTTTCCAGGGACCAGAGCCTGACCCCACTGTATAAGGGGTCAGAGCTTCTAAAGGAAGGCACCAGAGTCCTAGTCCCAGGAGCCCTTGAGCAATGCCAGGCAGCAATTCTGAGCTTGGTGTTGCCTCAATGCATTAACGCAAAAAGGTGCACATATTACCCGATGCTCTCTTAATGTAAAACAGGGACAGGATAAGTCATCAAAGAAACCACATGTAAATTAACCCTAAAAAAGACAAAATACACCAACTTACACCATACATAAAAATAAACTCAAAATGGATAAAGGACTTAAATTTAAACCAAGACAGGAAACCATTAAGAAAACGGTGGTACATATACACAATGGAATACTATGCTGCGGTTAAAAAAAAAGAAGGAATTCTTACTACTTAAAACCGGAAAGCATTATGCTAAGTGAAATAAGCCAGTCAGAGAAAAATAAATATCCCATGATCTCACTCATTTGTGGAATATAATGAACAACATAAACTGATGAACAAAAACAGATCCAGAGACAGAAAAGCATCGATCAGATTGTCAAACCTCAGAGGGAAGATAGGGGAGGGTGGGGATAAGAAGGAAAGATCAACCAAAGGACTTGTATGCATGCATATAAGCCTAACCAATGGAAACCAATGGACACAGACACCAGGGCGGTGAGGGCATGAGTTGGGGGGGGTGAGTGGCAGTAGGGGGATAAGGACACATATGTACTACCTTAATCAATAAAGAAAAAAAAAGAGACAAAATAAATTCATTCTAATTGGGTGATTAAAGTTTCAAGTAAAAAACAACTATTTCTAAAATTGACAGTAGAAGCCGATGTGGTTAAAACTATTGTATCTACTTTATTCATATTCAGGAGGCAAGACAATGAAGATTATGTCCACAAAATGGGATGTCTCAGTGAATGTCTACCTGGAAGTTTCCTCATTGTTAAGGTATTGATGAATGGGCAAAAAAACATGATTCTCTGCCAAGACTGGTTTGGCTCAGTGGTGGAGTGTCAGTCTGCGGACTGAAAGATCCTGGGTTTGATTCCGGTTAAGGGCATGTGCCTTGGTTGTGGGCACATCCCCAGTGGGGGGTGTGCAAGAGGCAGCTGATCGATGTCCCTCTCTCATTGATGTTTCTAGCTTTCTATCCCTCTCCCTTCCTCTCTGTTAAAAAAAAAAAAAAAAATCAATAAAATATATATATTTAAAAACCAAAAACAAACAAAACAAACAACAAAAAAACACTAAACCCAAGCCCTGGCTATTGCATTCAGTGGTTAGAGCATCAACCTGCGTCATAGGTTCCATTTCCTGTCAAGGGCACAAACCTGGGCCCAGCGGCTGCCCATTAACCTATGAACCTGGGTTGCATGTTCAATCCCCACCCCTGGTCAGGGCATGTGTAGGAGACAGCCAATCAATGTATCTCTCTCACACTGATGTTTCTCCCTTGACTCCACCCCTCCCTTCTTCCATTCTCTCTAAAACATAATGGAAAAAATAACCTCGAGTGATGATTAGCAAAAAATGAATTAAATAATAATAATAGTAATAAAAGAATACTATACTCAAGAAGTACAGAGTCTTGAATCACTCTTTGTATATGGTGTATACAGTTCCAGTTCATTTTGGCCTTTGCTTCTGCACAAGGTGTTTCTCTATTTGTCTCTCATCCTCTTGCCCACATGCCCCCAATAAATACACCCCAAATGCTCAGTAAGTGCCAGGCACAGCACTAAGCCATCAAGATAGAACAATGCAGATACAAGCCTGGTGAACAAAGGGCAATGCAAAAGGTACTCTGCATCTAATACACCACTACTACCTTCCTCAGCATTCACACCTATACAACCTGCTTTCCTCCCCCCCCTCTTAAATCATGTCTCTATTCTCTTTCTATTCCCTAACACTTGTGTAAACCACTATTTCTAATTATATTGGAACCTCGGTTCTTGAACCAAATTCGTTATGGAAGCTGTTCAAGAAGTGACTTGTTCGAAAACTGAATCATTTCTTTCCCATTAGAAATAATGTAAATTGAATTAATCCATTCCAGACCCTCCCACAAAATGATTCTGTTTTAACCTTTCTTATATACAATACATTCCTAATATACTGATTAATCTATAAACAAACACTTCTTAAATTTTTGGAACCACCCCCTACTAGCCTTATATGAATTTTTATATAGCACTGCCTTCAAAATGCTCTCACCAGCTAACCAGCAAACTGCTTTTTGCTGATCTGATCAACAATGGTTTTGTTAACTATTCAACTGCCTTGGATTGTTGTTTTGTGAGCACTTTCACACCTTTAGCAACATTAGTACTCTTGATGGCTTCACTATGTGTTGTTTATTTTTTTTAATCTTAGCAACTCTTTTTTAAAAAATATTTATTGTTGAAAGTATTACATATGTCCCCCATTGACTCCTTCTACCCTCCCTCCCCCCCCCTCCGCCCTCCGGGCCTTCACCACCTTATTGTCTGTGTCCATGGGTTATGCATATATGCATACAAATTCTTTGGTTGATCTCTTCCTACCCACCCAACTTCGGCCTTCCCTGAGACCTCACAGTCTATTCCATGCTTCTATGTCACCAGATCTATTTTATTTGCCAGTTTAGTCCATTCACTAGATTCCATACATGAATGAGACCATGTGATACTTGACTGGCTTATTTCGCTTAGCATAATACCCTCCAGGTTCCTCCATGCTATCTCAAAGGGTAAGAGATTCTTCTGTTTTTACTGCTTCATAGTATTCCATGGTGTAAATGTACCACAGCTTTTTTATACATTCATCTACTCGTGGGTACTTGGGCTATTTCTAGATCTTAACTATTGTAAATTGCGCTGCTATGAACACAGAAGAAGTACATACTATATATCCTTTCTGATGGGTGTGTCTGATTTCTTATCATATAGTCTTAGAAGTGGGATGACTGGGTCAAATGGAAGTTCCATTTTTTATTTTTTGAGTAAACTCCATACTGTTTTCCATAATAGCTACACCAGTCTGCATTCCCACCAGCAGTGTACTAGGGTTCCCTTTTCTCTATATTCTTGCCAGCAAAATTAACATTCAGAAATCGATGGCATTTTTATACACCAATAATGAACTCTAATAAAGAGAAACTAAAAAAGCAATCCCATTTACCATTGCAACAAAAAAATTAAGATACTTAGGAATAAACTTAACTAAGGATGTAAAAAACCTTTACTTGGAAAACTAGAGGATGTTGAAATAAAGAGGTAGAGGAAAATATAAAGTGGAAGAATATACCATGTTCATGGATTGCTAGAATCAATAACATCAAAATGTCCATACCACCCAAAATGTCAACACATCCCTATTAAAATACCAATGGCATATTTCACAGGTCTAGAATAAGCACTCCAAAAATTTATATAGAACAAAAAAAGACGGCGAAAACCCGAGCTGGTTTAGCTCAGTGGATAGAGTGTCGGCCTACAGTTTGAAGGGTCCCGGGTTTAATTCTGGTCAAGGGCACATGCCAAAGTTGTGGGCCTGATCCCAAGTAGGGGGCATTCAGGAGGCAGCCGATCAATTATTCTCATCGCTGATGCTTCTCTTCTCTCTCTCCCTTTCTCCCCTTCCTTTCTGAAATCAATAAAAATATTTTTAAGAACCCACAAAAATGAAGAGCCACAGCAATCTTGAGAAAGAACAAAGTTGGAGGGATCACAATACCAGATATCATGTTATACTACAAAGTCACTGTACCCAAAACAACTCAATACTGGCACAAGAACAGGCATATAGATCAATGAAATAGAACAGAGAATCTAGACATCAATTCAAACTATTATGCTCAATTAGTATTTGACAAAGGAGCCAAGAACATACAATAAAGACAGTCTCCTCCT